AGGAGCGTCCTCTTTGAGGCTCTGCAGACTGCCAAGTTCGACGTGTCAGGTATCCGCTTTTCACAGGGTGATCGGGGATCGAATGGGAGGGCCGGGGGCTGCGTGTAACTTATGTAGTGGAGGCACTAAATCACACGAGTCTCCGAATTCACCTGAAAACAGGGCAGGGGATGGCCGGAGGGTTGTGTGCGTCCACGCTGCCTGAGGCTTTGGGGGCTTCCCAACCCAAAGCTCCCTGGAACTGGTCTACGCTCCCCCTAGGAATGGAAGTCCACCTTCAATTCGCCCCTCTCATTTTCCCAGGGCTCACTACGGACCAGATGCTGCGAAAGGACCTAAAAGCGCTGTCGAGCGACGGGTTGGTTCTTGCCATCAGTGCGCTGTATGTGACGCTGGAGGTAAGGATCAATGCAACGTGGGGAAACCAAGGCACAGGGAAGCGAAGTGACTTGCCCTGGGCAGCAGAGGGAGTTGGTGGCAGAGGCCAGGAGTGCAAGTGGCTGTCACTGTGTCTGACACCGCTCAGGTTTCCATTTTAGTGGTACCACGGTGGAGGTGGGGAAGACGGTGGTCCTGCAGTTAAAGCACTGGATTGAGTGGGGATAATGTTGCCCCTCTCTCTTGTGTGGCCATGGTTCGGGTTTTTTCTCTCTGTGGTGCTTACTAGCACAGAATCCTAGAAGCCCCTCCGGCTGGGCTTTTAGCCCATTGTATAGGTGGGGAAACTGAGGCACGGAGCAGGGAGGTGACTTGCCCAAGCTCACTTAGCAGATCCAGGTCCCCTGCAGTGAAGTCTGTCACGCTGTCCACTAGACCACGCTGCTGCTGAATAGCTGTCCCTTCCGCAAGGAGCCCACGGAGTAAACAGTTCAGCCGCACCAGGTACAGAGACGAGTGGGTGGCACTGGGGAGAGCGGCCGAGGTAGGAAGCTGGGGAGTAAGACCATTGCCTGCCGGTGGGCTCTGGACTCTGATGCCGAATGCTCTCCTCGCCTAGGCCTTCCTGCAGCGGCCTGGCTTGCAGCAGGACCTGTGCGCCTTTTGCCAGCGGCCCCACGGAGTAAACAGTTCAGCCGCACCAGGTACAGAGACGAGTGGGTGGCACTGGGGAGAGCGGCCGAGGTAGGAAGCTGGGGAGTAAGACCATTGCCTGCCGGTGGGCTCTGGACTCTGATGCCGAATGCTCTCCTCGCCTAGGCCTTCCTGCAGCGGCCTGGCTTGCAGCAGGACCTGTGCGCCTTTTGCCAGCGGCACCCGACCGTGTCCAACGGGGGGAGGGAGCCATTCCGGCAGCTGGCGGTGTACAGCCAGCACGCGGCGGTGCGGACAGCGGTGAGCATAGCCGGGGGCTACCCTCAAACTGTCCGGGGGTATTCCTCAGTGGCCAGTCCCAGCAACCCCTGTGATTCCCGCCTGCAAGCGCTAAATCCCCGGCTTGAACTTGGTCCTGCACAACTTTTAAACAAGGGCGTCTCTTCCGCCACCGAATCGTGGGACTGGAGGGGCCCTCGAGGCCAGTCCCCCGCCCTCACGGCAGGACTAAGTATCATCTAGACGAGGGGGGTAAGAGTTTAACCGGTCAGCATCAGCGTATCGTTTTCCTGCCGACTCTCCAGGAGCGGAGCTGGTAGCCAGGAGCTGGTGCACGTAAGCCGGACCCTGGCACACACTGGCTCCGGCCCCTCTGTGGGCTCTGCAGCCAAATCCGCTTTAGCGGTTACATGTTTCCGTTTTAAAATCTTTTTTACATCTCTAATCTAGGGCAGCCTGTCTCAACCAGTGGGAGGGGTCCCCTCAGGGGGACTCGAGAGAAGTCGGGGGGGTACGTCCACACCACTGAAACTGGGAGAGAACTGAATTTTGGTTTTTAGCTTTATTATTTGTGTACTTTTTACACCCCAAAATGTCATCGCCCGCCCGGCTGCGATGAAGTTGTTTAAACAAAATGTGTTGCAATGGTAGAAAAAAAAAGTGTGTGTCTTAAAACTGTAGGTAGGTACTTTTTCTTTTTTTTTTTAAAGGGGTACTTTATAAAAAAAGGTTGAGAAACACTGATCTAGACCATCCCTGACAGGTTTAATGTGCTCCTAACAATCTCCAAAGATGGAGACTCTACAGCCTCCCTAGGCAATTTATTCCAGTGCTTCACCACCCCGACTGTCCTAACATTTTCCTAATGTCCAACCGAACCCTCCCTGTCTGCAATTTGAACCCATTGCTTCTTGGCCTGTTCTCAGAGGTTAAAGAGAACAGTATTTCTCCTTGCAACAACCTCTTAGGGTACGTCTACACTAGCCTCCTAGAGCGATTTAGGGAGGCTAATGCGGGCGACCGGAATTGCAAATCAAGCCCGGGATTTAAATATCCTGCGCTTGATTTGCATGTTCCTGGCCGGTTGCCATTTTAGAAATTGACTAGTCCAAAGTAACTGCCCGCGTCTACACGCGGCAGTGAAACGGGATTCCGATTTAAAGCCCCTAATTCGAATTAGCTGGTAAACCTCATTGCAGGAGGAATACTCTCGCCCCCCACCTCCGAGGCGGTTTCTAGCTCTCCATGAATCTCCCTTCCCCCCATCCTTCCAGGCTCTGCACCGCAGCCCTCGCTGCCCCTGCCGTGCGGTGCTTCTTCGTGCCGCAGTCGCTCCCCGAGCTGGAGATGGGGGCCGGGCTGCG